TGCAACATTTCTTCGACCAAAACTTTGGAAGGATCCAATTGAACACTTTGAAGATGATGAAGGTGTCGAGTAACTTAGTAACGAAATTGAAGGACTCGGGACTCATGGATGCAAAGTCGATTGCTTCATTACATAAAGACATGTCAAGTGCAGCTGCTAGCTTAACTGGATATTTCCAAGGGAACTTACGGTACCTCTTTTTGGAATCACTTCTGGACTTGGGGAGCTTTGAGAGGAAGGCGTCGTACTTGATCGACATTGACAACACGGACACGACCAAGTTGTTTAGAAAAGAAATTGCGAAACAGAAGATGGATGTGTATTACATCATGAAAGGGATGGTGATGTGCGAGAAGAAAAAGGAGAAACAGCAAGAAGCCATTAGCATCGACAAGGCTGACACAAAAAATGAGACGCAATGCATTTGCTTTGCGAACGAAGACTTTCTCACGTTCATGGACATGAAGTGTAATGTATTTGTGAAGCGAGTGTATAGTAGACAGATCACATCAATCAAAGTGACTGAAGGCACCGAGATGAGTGTGATCATCGACACACCAAAGATGACCCTCTTCATCAGAGGAGAGAAAGTCAATTTGTTTGTGATTTACATGATGCGTGGGTTTGCACATGGGTTCTATCGTAAACCGACCTTCCACTTGACTGGGCCTTATGGTGTCTTGACTCGTATATTGCCATATCCACTCAACCACAAACAACAATCTGGCGGATTCCTTGGTGTCTACAAAGCGAACTGTGCCAGTTTTGGTATCAGAATGAATGGAGCGCTTGTCTTTGATATTGAGAAGGACATCAACTTACAAACCCCAGGGGAGGAGTACACGTTAGACCTTTCGAAATATTATAACGACGATTACAACAACACAAAAGAGGATTGTTTGTTGGACATTGATATGCAGCCGATCTTTGGATCGCTTGGAGAGAATTACTACTTCAAAAAAGTGATCATCAAAGACACCAACTTAAGACGGTGTTATTCGCAGCTGAAAGAGATTCTGATGACAAACAGAACGATTGAGCACTTGGCTCTCATTAATGTCTCATTGGGGTCGAAGTGGTCTGAAGTGATGGAGGGGTACAACATGAACTCGAAGCATGTCTTGAAGCATTTGGACGTTTCAGAGAATCAGATGGATGGGAAGGGTATCAGTGCGATTGGTACTGTCATTCGATGCCACGGACTCCTTTCTGTTAATTTGTCGAATGTTCTGTCGAAGAGTGCTTTGATGTCAGCGTTTCTTGATGACTTGAGAAAGGTGAAGACATCGATTCCATTACAGAGTTTGAATATCTCTGGGTCTTCGATGTATTACACACAGGCGGAATTCCTTGTTTCGTTACTCTCAGCTATGTTGCCATCACTGAATGAAATTATTATGAGAAACTGTGAAGTTCCAAAGGAGACGAGTTTGATTAAATGCGTCTGTGCACTTCAAAGTGTAGTCAAGGTCGATATTACAGGGCTCAACTTCACTCAAGAAGTCACTCAAGAGTGTGTGAAGACCCTTGGCGAAAAGATGAAGAACCTCCACGAGTTGATGCTCCAGAATGCGATTGTCGACAAGGCTGTGTTAAGAGAGTTTATTGAAGAGATTCCAGCGAAGGGGGTTACTTTGGACTTAAGTAAGAGCAATCTCAACTCAGAGATGATGGTCAATTTTGCACACATGTTTGCTGGGTTGACATCGGTGAAACGGATAGATGTGAGTGACACTGAAATTGGTGATGACGGGATTATAGCGTTATGCGAGGCTTTAACACAAAACACAGAAGTAGAAGAGTTGAATATCTCTGGTGCTTTTGGACGATCGAAACATGTAAACACTTCGGTTGAAGTAGTGAAGGCCATTTGTAATTTGTTGGTATCTGGATGCCCCTTGAAAGTGTTGAGAATGGCTGGTGGGAAAGACAAAGGAGGGAAACTTGGTATTAACATCACCCCACTCTTTGATACTTTGGTCAAACAGAACCAACTTGAAGTTTTGGATGTGAGCCGCCATGACTTTGGAAATAAAGGAGCGTTCTCATTGTCGAATATGATCAGGTCGAATTCTAAACTGAATGAACTCAATTGGGACGAAAATTCTGTTGGGGTTTCTGGGATGAAAGCTGTCGCACTGAAACTCAAACACAACACCGCACTGCTCAATTTCCAAATTCCAGTCATGGACTGCGGTGTTTTGATGGGTAGGGAATTGACTGAGGCTAGAAACATCATCAATGACATGTTGATTTCGTCTAACTAACTTTTTTTTAGTATGCATATGTCTGGGTTTATTGGAATCTAGTTTATTTTGAGGATCACAAATTTGAACTGATTTTATTCTTATTTGAAATTTGACTCCGATATATTTAAAATGGAATTGCCAAAATTAATTTTACTGGTTTAGTTTTTATTGGTTCAAATACCTTTGATTTATATTATTTTATATAGAAATAGTATTATAATTATACAAATTAAGTTTTTAAAACCAGAACAATTAGAATAAATTCTTTTTTTAAAATATTTTACTATATATTTTATGAAATTCTTATTTATAACTATAAATAAGATTATAATTAATTATAAAATATTATTTATATATTTAATTTCATTAACCATTTAATTATTCTTTCTAAAAAATAATTTTATTATTATTTTTAGTTTATTATGAATAATTTTTTTAATTAAAAAAATAATTATAATTAATTGGAAACACTGCACTTTTCTTTCAACTTTTCTTTTTTAAAACCATGGTTTGGAGCTTAATGTTATTAGACCAATATAATATTTTTATTTATTACTAATAACATTTGATTTTTGGAAATGAATAAAAATTCATATCTTTTTTGATTTCGGGATTTTTCAAACCAAAAACCAAAATAAAAATACTTAAAATTAATCAAAAAAAGCCAAAACTAAAAGGAAATATGACCAATTCAATTTGATTTTTTTATTTTTTTTTGGTTTTTTCAAAATCAAAAATCAAAATTATTATTGTATCTGTTTACTATAATATTTGGTACATTGTATCATATTTGAATTACCATTTAACAACCAAAATTAAACCCCACTTCATTCTATTTATAACAGGGTTTATATTTTTAACTTTCATATTTACTAGTAACCAATAATTTTCCTATTGTAATAATATAGTGAATAAAAAACAACTATTTATTAACTTTTTATTCTATAATTACTCCAAACTGTAATTGTTTCTAATAACAAATAAACTATAGTTATAACATATGTTATTATCTATACATAGACGCAGTTGTTTATAAATACAACGACTCATTATCTATTTTTGTTCAAGAATCTTCAGTAAAAGGGGTTAAAGAAAATAGTCGAAAAGGTTCTTAAAGAATATATAAGTGGGTTTAAAGAACTGAGTATCACCAATGAACTTTTTTGAACTTCACTATGCTCTCGAGTATTATTATATGACGACGGAACTCCATGAGGAAGATACTCTTTCTTACTTTGCTAAGTGTAAGAATGAAAGTGAAGTTAAATCTATTGCTAAAAAAGTAATGCAAATGATTGACAAAAAAGACATTCTTAAAGTATTCAAAGGACTTCTCCTTTATCATTATTTAACCCAAATTGAAGGGAGAGACTTTTCAATATATTTTACCGATTTAAAATGTACATTTGAAAAAAAAGAAAAGACTCACTTAGACTCAAATTCCTCACAACTCTCATTTTGGGCTCAAATGTATTCTGCCATACTCAACCAAAGGCTCCAGTTCTATAAAAAATATTCATTCTTAAATGAAAACTTTTCTATTAAGAAAGGCAAGAAACTTCCTCTTGAATTTCAAAATATTGAATCAACAGAAGCACTCGAAAATGACGCCTTTTCACTTTTTGGTTCTTTAAACGCTTTTGTTGGGAAATTCCTGTCAAAAAAGACGAAAAACAGTTACTTAGAAAAAGCAGTAGAATACTGTATTACCGATTTGATCCAACTTCTAGAATTAATCACCAATTTGGAGAACTACAAGGCACTCCTGAGTGGAAACCAATTACAAACAGAACTACCACTCTTCTGTTATTCACAAATTGGTATTATTAAAAGTGAAGCTGAAAAGACTAAACAAAAAATTTTTAAAGCCACTCGAATACCAAAGGTCACAAATTACCAAAAGAGTGTGACTAAACTTAATTGGTTCACTTACAAGTTCCCAATCCCAACACTGAATAACACTAACAATACCATTTCTGAGTGCTTTGAAGAAGATAATGACGTGGTGACTAGTCATGTAGTTGTGAATGCAATATGCCAAGCACTTGTATTGGATTAATTTATTATTTATTTACTATTCATTTCTTGTTAAGGAGAACTCAAAGTCTGTTGATAACAGAAGACTTTTTTTCGTTGAATGTTTATAGTTTAAAATAGTATTGAATTAAATTATTTAATTATACTATTAATTATTATAAAAAAGTAATTGAAATAGTAAAAATACTAAAAAATTAGTTTTTATATTTTAATATTCTGATAAGTAATTTATAAAAAAAAGTAGAAACACTATTGGTGTGGTTTATAATATTAATATACTAATAATATTTTTACAATAACGAAATTAAGAGGATTGGTAATATTTAGAATGGATTTTTTTAAAACTGTTTGGATACATCATTGTTATAATTATAATTAAAAAATATTAACTTTTTTTTTCAATTAAAAATAGTTATATAACTACCTTTATAATTACTCGACTTTTCTGTAAACAAATGGGAATAGTACTTAATAATAATATTTTACAATGATTTGGATACGTTGAAGAATTAAATGGAATAGTTTCATATATTAATTACAAAAATAGGATGTCTCTCCCTGTTTTCAACAGGAGTTGTTGTCGGCTAAACCCCCCAAGACTATAAAAGCCATTTCATTCATACAAAAAGCATATGTTCTTCATCTTCATTGCTTTGTGTTTTACATCATTCGCCACTGATGTCCAGGCATCTGGCAAAAGAGAAAATGTCACAGAACCAACATATGTGACTATCAATTGCACTGGCACTCTTATGAACGTCACACAGGAAACTCGAGCAAATTATACTAACTGCACTGACTATGTCCCTCAAAATTCTAATACCACTTATGTGTTGATAGTCTGTAATGCAACATTAGTCAATGTGACAACAACAGACAGAAACATTTATTCCAACTGCACTGATTTTATTCCAAATGGAAATGTCCAGAACGTCACTATTGTGTGCAATGGTAACTATTATAATGTGTCAGCTGAAGACAGACTTAACTTGACTAATTGTCAGGACTTTAAACCAAGTGAACCAGTTACTATAATAGTTATGAAATGTAATAACACTCTCATTAGAATTAAATCAGATCAGAAGGATAAATACTCAAATTGTGAAGATTTCATTCCATCGGGACAAAATCAAACTGTTACCCTAATATGTAATGGAGAGTACTTTAATGTTACCAAAGAAGATGCTGTTGCTCTTATAGACTGTAAAGAATATACCCCAGAACCAAATCCAGTATTTATCAAAATAATTTGTAATAATACTGTTATTGAAATTAAAGAGTCTGAGAGAAACAACTACCCATATTGCAAAGATTATATACCACAAAATGTGACTATTATTTGCAATGGAACTGTAATGAATGTCACACAGGAGGACAGACCTAAATATCCAAATTGCACTGATTACAAGCCATCACAGAACATTACTTATACTTTGATAGTCTGTAATGCAACATTAGTCAATGTGACTACACAAGACAGAAATATTTATTCCAATTGCACTGATTTTATTCCAAATGGAAATGTCCAGAACGTCACTATTGTGTGTAATGGTCAATTCTATAATGTGTCAGCTGAAGACAGACTTAACTTGACGAATTGCCAGGATTACAAACCACAAGAATTCATTCCAATTGTATGTAATGGTACAATCATGAATGTTACTGTACAAGACAGACCAAACTATCCAAATTGCACTGATTACAAGCCATCACAGAACATTACTTATACTTTGATAGTCTGTAATGCAACATTAGTCAATGTGACTACACAAGACAGAAATAGATTCCCACAATGCACCGATTTTGTCCCAAGTGGTTCCGTTCAGAATGTCACTATTGTGTGTGCTGGAAAAGTGTATAACGTTTCAGTGGAAGATCGCATTAAATTGTCGAATTGTGAAGACTACCACCCACCAAAGCCATACTTCACTATTTTGGACTGTAACAAATACCTTCTCAAAGTTCCAACAAAAGACGTGAATAAATATCCATACTGCACTCCTTATATTCCATCAGGAAGTACTAACACGACAGTGACTATTGTATGCAAAGGGTATGTCTTTAATGTGACAAAGGATGAGAGGTCTAAGTATACAGACTGCACCAATTATAATCCAACCCCAGTGTATCCAGAAGATCATACGAACTCGACATATGTCATTATCAACTGCAATGGAACATTGAAAAATGTCACTTTTGAAGATAGAAAGAACTACATGAACTGCAGTGACTACATTCGACCAATTCCAGAGAACAATGTCTACCACAACTTGACGTGCAATGGGACTAATGTCATTGTTGAAGAAAGAGAAATGAATAATCACACTGGATGTGTCGATAATGGCGTTTTGGGCTTCTCCAATTCCGATCAAGTCATTAACAACAGAACACTCGATGGTGTTGAAGTGAAGGGAATGAAAGTCGACAATTGTAAAATGAACAACTTAACTATAAATAAGAGTGTAATCGAGTCTGGGAAGGTCGAGAAGACTGAATTCAAATACTCGGAGTTTGTGGACACCACATTCTCCAATTCAAAATTCGAAGAAACATCATTCAAATCAACACAACTCAACGATTTCAAGTTTGTTGGTGGGTCTATAAAGAAAGTTGAATTCAAAGACTCAATGGTCAAGTCATCAACGTTCTCTGAATCTTATTTGAAGGACGTTTCATTCGAAGGAGCATATAAGTCGAGAAAGGAAGGACATAAAAAGAGCATCAAGAAAGAAGCCAGAGAAAGTGTCTTGTCATCAGTCACATTCTTCAAGTGTGATATGACTGAGTTTGGTATTGAAAAGATGCGACTCCAAGATGTGGCGTTTGTTGGTGGATACATGGAGGACTGCTCACTTGAGAATGTCGTCGCAAGAAGAGTTGAAATCAGAAATGTGACTTTGAAAGACGTCGAGTTTGAAAAGATGTCCTTTGAAAATTCAATCATCACGTCGCAGAACGTCGAAGACGCCAAGTTTGAAAGTGTCGACTTCATCAACTGCACAATTACTGTTAATGGTAATCACACAACAGTTATGAAGAATATCACTTTGATGAATACTCTCATCAATGGAATTTACTTTGACAACATAAAGGGCGACT